GAAGATCTATGCATCCTCTTTCCAACGCTACCAAGTTTGACTTATTTCAAGTTTGAAGTAAAATTTTATAACCATTTTACCAAAGACTACCGCAACAGAGTTTCATGAGTCCGTTCCTTCTACGATCCGTACTATCAACGGATAGAAAACTTCAAAAAAGTCAAATTTTGGGGTCCCATTCCTACGGATCCATCTACAGATCGTAGAACTTTCTATGGTCGTAGTTTGGACCCGCATAATGAAATTATGAGCCTTAAAATTCAATATAAATTTCATGGATGGGATCTACGGCGCGTAGAACAAACCACAAACCGTAGATCTCCCTGCTAAAGATTTTTGTCACCTTTTTAAGAAGGATATTTTAGACTTTTTCCACTTATTCTACACCTAAAACCTGACTTTTGACTCTAAGCTAAGGGTTAAAACAGTGTTAGTCAATATTTTATATTCATTATCACTTCAAGTCATTAAAACAAGGTTTTCAGAGGAGAAAACCTAGGGTTTCGAAAGTTTTTTGAATTTCCACTGATTTCGCCAAGAACTTTGTTTTTCCATATATGGATCTTTGCATATTCATAAACAAGGCTATACTAAGGCACTGCTCATGACCCTAGAAGACTTGTGAATCTAATGTTGTGATACTAATTTGTCACGATCTAACTACAACAAAATGGAGATTTAGTGGTCATTAAAAATGGTATTAGCGGACATAACTATGGCCACTATAACCTTTACCAGCCAATGCACGTTGATCGTTGTATTAGGGGTTGACAAAGGTTTTTGCGGCCATCCAGACAAGAGCTGGTAAAGCCAAGCTCTTTTGCCTCTAAAACTCATTCGATTTTAGCGACAATTATTTGCGGTAATTTAAAAGGCTGCTAAATACAATCCAAAGCGGTTAGTTATGCTCATGTAGCGTCCATTATTATAGCCAGTAAAACCAACTAAATTGCTATTAAAACGTAGTTGTTCTAGCGGTGATTGGTTGCGACAATTTAGATGATTGTTAAATTAATCCAAAATAGTTGGTTATGCTTGTGTAGTGTCCATTTTTATAGCCGGTAAATTCAACTAAATTATCGCTAAAATGCATTAGTTCTAGCGGTAATTAAAATAGTTGTTAAATCAAATCTGAAATGACCAATCATGCTCATGTAGTGTCCATTTTTATAACTAGTAAATTCAATAATATTGTCTCTAAAAGTTCATGTCTTTAATGACAATAGTTTGGTGGCAATTATAAAGGCTAGAATATCCTTTTGAAAACATCATAATTTTGCTCATTCAACATCCAATTTTATGGCTAGTAAATTCACTTAGTTTGACATTGAAAGTCACAAACTTTAACTAGCAACTGGTTAGTCACCACCATTAATAATGACTACACCCATTCATGAAATTTGCTAATTCACACTTCTACTAATAAGCTTATAACTAGTAAATCCAACAAAACTGTAATCAAAGAGAGCCTATTAGAGGCGATGAAGTTTGTCAAATACTAAATAATATATATTATAATTCATAAAATATAATATATCTCATCAAATCTAAAGAGAAAAAAAAATATTAATTCAAACTATAGTATCACAACTTAAAAATTAAACTTATATTGTTTGAACGAAATATATACTATCATTATATAAATCAATCCAATAAAATAATGTCTTAAAAAAATATCCATAATGATTCGCCATATCGAGGTGTTTCATATACTATATGACTTGAAATAATAAAATAAATGTATCAAAAGATGAAATCCAATTGATAAAAACATTATGAGATAGAAATTGTATATCATACAAAAAATCTCAGAGATCCAAAGACACTTGAATTTCCTATGGAGATTTTAATTGAAAGTTCTTTCATGTCTTTATAAAATTAAGGCAGGTTAATTCGTTGAATCAAGATCACTAAACTATTGCATGTCTTTCATGCCCAAAGTTCACTGAATTTGGCTAAATCATAAATTTGAATTCTTTGTTTCAATGTGAATTAACATATCCTTCTGGCAATGCTGATTAATCTGAGATGAGGTATGTAAGGACTAGTTCCAGTAATCAGACCACTAATACTCAGCTATACAAATAGAACCTTTAGATAAAACAAACTACACTTCAGAAATTAGAAACAATGTTGTTGAATCTCGGATGAAATGCAACAACTGGCAAGGAATCAACATAAACAATCTCAATTGGAAAATATGGAATCCATGGTATACATCATCTAAAACAAATAAAGTAAGGGATAAGGTGTATAAGTTGTAGTTTCAATAATCAGACCACTAATATGTAGCTATACAAACAAAACCTATAGATAAAACATACTACACTTTATTTTAAATTATATATGCTATGAGGAATGAAAGAAAGACTATCAAAATTAACTTGTTTGGATGGTGTTATGTCACGCCCCAAACTCGAGGGGCGCAACTAGCTCCTAATGCCAAAACTCAGGTCCGAGTCGACCCTGCTGAACCATTTGCTACTAGCGCATGGCAGCCACACGCAATTAAGAAAACAAACAAGTATATCTCGGCTTAAAGCTAAGCCCTCGGCTGGCAAGACCCCTGTCAACTGATCTATAAAAGAAACAGCTACTCCCAAGAGATAATATAAATAAATAGCCAACTAGCACAGAAGTCCTGATTGGGCCGTCGAGGCCACCATGATATCTATACCAAAACTAAAAGCAGGAATATATCAATACAATACATCAAATAACTCACAAGCTTCAGCAAAGCAATAACCTAGGCCAGTATGGCTATAACGTAGCTATACACCCCACACACTAGTCTGCAAGCCTCTAGAAGTAGTAAAGATTGGAGAGAAAGGGCCCCAGCCTACCCATAAAGATATATACAACAAAAGGTAACAAACCTCCCAACTCTGGCAGCTCCGGAGGAAAGGGGCTAGCTAATCGGATAGAGGTCAATCTTGTTGTTGAGGAGGTCTACTATGTCATCTGTCGGGACCTGCATGCATGAATGCAGCCCCCCCAAGGCAATGGGGCGTCAGTACAAAATAATGTACATAGAAAGGCTATAGAATAAATGAGCAAGTATCATAATATATCAAAAACAATCACGTAAGGAAACCAAAATTTTAAATAAGCATACTAACCCACTATTGAATCTAAAAATACAAAAATGATCAAACATCAACCTAACCAATCCCCCATAAGCTCGGCAGGTACAAACAACATACCATCTACCTAGGCCCCCATAAGGCTGGGCACCGGACCGGGTTGTACCGGTACCATTCCGGTTTGTTCCGGTACGGTAGTATTCGGGATGGAACGGGACACCATGAGCCGGTACACGGGACGGAACGGTATCACGATTTGATACCGGTGTACCGGTACCGATATATCCCGGTTTATTCCGATTCCGATTAATTTTTTTTTATTATATATATATATATATATTTCCAAGTCCAACGGCTGAAAAGTCCTAGGGGTCAGCAAAGGCTGAAAAGCCTGCTGCCTCTTACCCCTGCCCCTGCCCCCTGCCCCCTGTCGACCAGTCCCATCCCCGGTCCCCACTCCCCACTAACCAATGGCAAGCAGCCAAGCACTGTCCTAGCCCCCCATTCCCCCAACAGATTTATTTCCAAATTCCAACGAGCAACGACTATAATTCTATATTTTCCAATTCCAAGTTTCCAACACATAATCACAAATTCTAAAAACTATATATGCTCCCTCTCTTTATATTTTTAATTACAGTTTATATATTTACAATATTTAACAACTAAGAATCATCAATTTCTCTCAATTCTCAATCTTTCTCAAAGTTTCATACTTTCAATATTCAAGTTTCAAATTTCAATCATATTATTTTGTAATTGTGAAGATTTCAACAATCATTTGGTGAATTTTGGAGTAGGAATCTTCTTCAAACTTCAAGTTTCGACATCAATTTTTCAATTTTCGATTATAATCATTTGTTCTTTACACAAGCGTTTGGTAACTTCGTTCCACTCTCTAATCTTATATTTATTTTTTGTATTTATTATTTGTAAGTTCTTGTTATATTTTATTTGTTCTTGTTAAATTTCGTATTTCATAATTTATAATTTTTTATCATGGAGTCTTCTAAAAAAAGTGGAGGTAAAAAAGGTATTGTACACGGAGTAAAAAATATGCTTACAAAAAGTAAGAAGGGTTCTAGTTCTTCTAAATCTAATTTTCCTCTTGTTAGAATGAATACTGATGAATTTACTCATGTGAATGAAACTAGTTTTTCTCGTCCCGGTCCTATAGAAATTAATTCGGATACTCCTATAATTCCCGAAGAGGTTTATGAAAGACATTATGGTAATTATCAAGAAAATGAAGAAGTAGAAATTGATGAAGAAGATTTAGATGATACATCGACTAGTCCCGACCTCAATAGTACTGAAGTTCCACCTCAGGAGGACAATCCTTCGGTTGGAAC